CTCAGGTCGTGATCTCAGGGTGTGTGTGCGCACACGCGCATACACACACACACACACAAATATTACTCAGCCATAGAAAAGAATGGGATCCTGGCATTTGCAACAACTTGGACCTAGAGGGTATGACACTAAGCAGAGTAAGTCAGACAAAGACAAATACCATATGATTCCACTTACATGTGGAATCTAAAAAAACAAACAAATGAACAAAAAGCAGAAAAGGACCTATAAATACAGAGAACAAACTAGTGTTTGCCAGCAGGGAGGAGAGTAGAAGGACAGGCAGAATGGGTGCAGAGGAGTGGGAGATACAGGCTTCCAGTTATGGAAGGAGTAAGTCAGAGGGATAAAAGGTACAGTATAGGGAATACAGTCAATGGTACTGTAACGGCATTGTATAGTGACAGAAGGTAGCTACGCCTGTGGTGAACACAGTGTAACATATAAGCTTGCCAAATCACTATGTTGTATACCTGAGACTAATGTAACATTGTGTCAACTATACTTCATCAAAAAATATATAAAGGAAATTCCATGGCAAGGAAGAGGATCCTCTAAGGGATGGTAATAACATGCCCCCATGAAAATGCTATTACTCTACCAAGAAATCAAGCCAATATTTAGATGACTTTTAAGTCATGCGCATCATGCACAGATCACAAGACACTTTCCAGTGCTGATGCAAGTGCAGTTGTGTTACTGTATCACAGGAGTTATGAATAAAAATCACCCTCAGGGGGATCCCTGGGTGGCGCAGTGGTTTGGCGCCTGCCTTTGGCTCAGGGCGCGATCCTGGAGACCCGGGATCGAATCCCACGTCAGGCTCCCGGTGCATGGAGCCTGTGTCTCTGCGCCTCTCTCTCTCTCTCTCTCTCTCTCTCTCGTAAATAAATAATAATAAAATCACCCTCAGTGTTTGCCTTAATGTATCACCTCAAATCTTCTTGTTCTTCTCATATGTATCATGTAGAGTGGGGATGGCATACCCATGGGCTGAATCCAGGCTGTTTTTGTAAATGACATTTTTCTTGGAATGCAGCCCTGCCCATTTGTTTCCATACTGTCTACATCTGCTTTCATGCTATGGAGTGGGGAGATATATTAAAATTAGATGAAGTCATAATTAGGAAACATGAGTTATAACTTTTTGGATACCTGAGAATGGCTAAGTTTTAAAATGGTTATTCCTGAAAGGGAAAAACTGGGGGAACCATGTATGATAAATTATTAACTACAATGAGGCATATAAAAACAGTTCTTTCTGTATACACAGACCAATTTGGGAATGTGCTGTTTTTGGTGAACTTAATCTGAGTGGGAAGAAATCCAGAGGCAAACTGACCATTATGTACTTTCTAGGATTAGCTAGTTCTAAATTTAAGTCACACAGAAGAGAAAATGGATGGGGGTGAGTGGGGGGAAGACAAAGATTTGTAGACACAGTACATTTAACCTATGCCAGGAGTTGGCAAACTTTCTGTGAAGGGCCAGATGATAATAATTCAGGCTGTGGCCCATACAGCCCATCACAACTACTCAACACTACTGTAACACAAAAGGCAACCATGGACAATAGAGAACAAGCATGATCCTATGTTCCAATGAAACTGTATTTACAAAAACAAGTTGCTGCCATGTGGGCTATAGAATGCTAGACCTTAGTCTATGCCAACTATCTGGACACTATCACTTTACCAGCAACAAAATTTACCTAAGTATTAATTGATAGGTATCCCTGTTATTTTCCACTTGATACATACAGAGTAATTTTATCAGCACTGTTTGCTGGCAGAATGCAATGTTTATGTTGAATTCCAGCTGGGACATACTGATCTGCACAGCAAGCTGCTCTAGCTCTTGATGCACCTGCACCTGAGTTAACATTCTATAAGTAATGGATTTTCAGTTGTGACTCCAACTCTTGCTATTCCTTTTTGTTTGGTATAGAGGAAAACATAACCTCACAGAAATTGTCTGACATAAACATCATGCAGGAGGATGGGGGTAATAATAAAAGGTGAAAAGACAAAGATAAGCACACAGTGCATAGCTGTGGGAAAAAATAAATACTAGTTCATCCAGAGTGGTTATTTCTAGAAACTAAAGGGACCTACACATCCCTCGTGCCATCTCTCTTGCACATCTGAATCCACCTTTGAAAACAAACTCTTCACATGTGCCCCTATGTACTGGAAGAAGACAGTGATAAGGGACCCATGAGGAGGCAGGCATTCTCAACAACGAAGAAATATGCTCGCCACATTCTAGTGCTTCAAGTATAGTAAGGTAGTTAAGATCTTTGGAGTGTGACACATACAGCTCCACCACTGGCTCCCTGTAGCATGTTGGTGACATCACCTTTCCAATTCTCAGTTTTATTATTTGTAAAGTAGGAACAAATCATACTTCCCAGAGTTACTGTTAAGTTAAAATGAGACAACAAATATGTGTAAAGTTCTCGCTTAGAACATTAAAAGGCATTTATAACTAACTGATAATCACTGTTATTATTATGACCTCAGGCAGAAAATTTTCAGAAGTTGTGCATGAGTGCTACTACAGGGGTGATGGCTAATCTAAAGAGAGAGACAAAAGAAAAAAAGAACCACAACAGACTTGCTGTCTCAAAAATAAAGAGCGGAGGTGCCTGGGTGGCTCAGTTGGTTTAAACATCTGCCTCTGGCTTGGGTCATGATCCCATGGTCCTGGTGGCTCCCCTGCACGGTGGGGCGCCTGCTTCTCCTCTCCCTTAGCAGCTTCCCCTCCTTGTGCACTCTGTCCAATAAATAAATAAAAATCTTAAAAAAAATAAAGAGCAGATAATGGGGACAGGGAAACCCCAGGGAAAGAACTGGAGTTCAGATAGAAGCCAGATTTATACAACCGATTTTGGTCCATATAGAGAAAGACGGAAGACTTGTTTTTTGACAGCATGCTAACATTCATATCCTTATACAAAACCAACATCATTTTAATATAAGTTGTGAAGGACATAGAACGTGGAAACTCCCTTTATATCAAAGACTATCGGGCAGCCTGGGTGGCTCAGCGGCTTAGCGCCTTCAGCCCGGGGCATGATCCTGGAGAACCCAGATCGAGTGCCATGTTGGGCTCCCTGCATGGAGCCTGCTTCTCCCTCTGCCTGTGTCTCTGCCTCTCTGTCTGTGTCTCTCATTAATAAATAAAATCTTAAAAAAAAACAAAGACTATCTCAGGCTTCTCCTTAGGGAAAAGACCATTTTCCTATCATTCAGGTTCCCTGTGCAGGCTAATGATCTAACTCTGTTAGTAGGAATTATCCAAATACTCCAGAGAGTTTATAAGGAACTTATGCTATGAAGGCACCATCTCAAGACCATGTTCATAGGAAAAGATGACCCTTATTACTTTTATGAAAAATGGCAGACGCCAAGGAATGATCTGGCATTCCTTAAAAAAGCTTAAAGTAGTGGTGGCCTCTGCAGAGATATCACAGGAATGGTCATATTATATATGCTGTCTATTTTAACTCTGGATCATTTAAGTGCTCCCTGAAGCCTATCAGGGGACTTACCCCTTAGGAGCCAAAAATGAACACCAGTCCAAATGGTTTGAGTGCAATCCAAAAGACCCTGCTGCCTCTGAAATTAGTATTCCAAAGTGCTATATACTTCACTGATGCTGAAATAATGAGCCTCTGCTATGGCCAGAATTTTGACAAGATGTATAAAGTTCCACTCTCAATATAAACTCCCAACAAGTCTGGTTAAAAAGAATAGACTCTCCCCATAAGGAGAGTATAATTAGTATTATTAGTATTATACTTGGGAACCCTTTTAGTTCCAATCCTTTGTAGGGGTGATCACAGACTGGGTAAGCATGTAATTTACCCCCAATTGTTTTGAGGAGGATATACTACAGAATAAACTATAGGCTTTAAAGGTATTGGCTCCTGAAAATGACATTTCTACGAGTTTCCCTGACAGGAGTCAAGGCAATCATCCTTTCTTCCCCTATCTACCTAATTCATTGTGTTACCTTATTCACCAAGAATATCCCCTCTTCTGCTACATGTGGACTCATGTAGAAGAGCTGGTAGACTTTCTAAAACACTTTCCAAAAGACATCTTTCAGAATTCAGTCTAGTGAGGGGTTACAAGAAGGAAAAAGATTGCTTTCATCATCTATGACCCTCCCATTCTTAGCTCGGTCAGCCTCCACTGTACTAAAAGACAGTAGCAAGTATTAAAAGGAAGAATGGAGAGGGGAGAGAGGCGTTCTGTGTGGCTCAGTGAGTTAAGCGTCTGACTCGAGACACTTGATTTTGGTTCAGGTCATGATCTCAGGGTCATGAAATCGAGCGCCATGTGGAGCTCTGAGCTCAGTGGGGCATCTGCTTGAGATTCTCTCTCTCTCTCTCTCTCTCTCAGCCCTTCCCCTAACTCATGCTCACTCACTCGCTCTCTCTCTCAAATAAATAAATCAAATCTTTTAAAAAGAAGGGAGAATGAGGGATCCCTGGGTGGCGCAGCGGTTTGGCGCCTGCCTTTGGCCCAGGGCGCGATCCTGGAGACCCGGGATCGAATCCCACATCGGGCTCCCGGTGCATGGAGCCTGTTTCTCCCTCTGCCTATGTCTCTGCCCTTCTCTCTCTCTCTCTCTGTGACTATCATAAATAAATAAATAAAAAAAAAGAAGGGAGAATGAAAAGCAGAGAAAAAACACAGGTGTTCCTTAGTCCAAACCACCCATTTTAAACATAATTTTTATACCGTAATGGAAAAAATTGTGATGTAACATTTATGATACTTTATGCTTTTAATAGTTCGTTATTCCTTTGTCTACTCTCATGAGAATAAAAGTTCCACGATGGCAGAACTTTGTTAATATCTAGAATGGTCTCTGGCCCCTAGTGAGCACTTAATAACTATCTGTTGAAAGAAGGGAAAAAGTGCCACATCACAACCATCTCTTCTCTACCACCAACTAGGGAACCCCCACCCAAACCACTGGCAACTTACCAAGGCTTCCACCACACAAGGACATCTATGGCGATGGAGGAGATTCATTCTGGCTTGCTGATGAACCCACTGGGCAGGAAACCGCAATGTAAGTGACAGGTAGGTGGTAGTGTTGACTAAGGACAAGGTTTCTGGCTGCCCAGAAATCTGCAGTTTTTAGAGGCATCCTAGGTGATTTTCTGCATAAACAAATTTTACACCATAAACATTTCCTTCATTGGGCAGGAACAATCTCAGAGGCTATTATAGAAAAAATGTTTCACTGTGGAATGAAAACATTTCTTTTTTTTTTTTTAAAAAAAGATTTTATTTATTTATTCATGAAAGACAGAGAAACATAGGTAGAGGGAGAAGCAGGCTCCCCATAGGGAGCCGGATGTGGGACTCAATCCCGGAACCCCAGGATCACGTCCCAAGCCAAAGACAGACGCCCAACAGCTGAGCCATCCAAGCGTCCTGGAATGAAAACATTTCTGTCTCACATGGCTTCCCTGGACTCAAATGGAACCTAAAGGAAGCACTGGGTAGAAGACACAGTACCTGGCTTATATTTAAATCCACTTCCTACACTAGTTATAATCTTAGGCAAGATAAGCAATTCCCCCATCAGCAAAAATGGGAGAATGAAAAAAATGAAAGGTTAGATACATTACTTTCTAGTGTAGTCTAAACATTTTAAGACCTTTTTTATTCATACCACAATGGGGAAAATATCAATTAATTGCCTAATACCTACTAAAATTACCTTCCCTGCACCTTTCCACTACCTGGGCAAGCCTGCCAAAGCCACTTACCAGACTTCACAACGATTTGATAACCATGTGCAGGATGTTGGTTTAAGTCTCTCCCAATTTTCTAGTAACCTCACTGGGCTAGACGGGGCTCAATATACCTCTTCACCAATGGCATGGCTTCTGATCACATCTGGTGTCACCTGTAGGATAAGAAAGAAGGAAGAAGAAACAAATGTAAGGCAGAATAGCCAAGGTTTGAGATATAGCTTCGATTTACTTTAACCACCTTAGTCAAGTAACCCAGCCCATACCATGGACCTCAGACTTTGTTTTTATCTGGCAGACTGCTGCAATACCCACAACTATTTTTCTTCCTACAACTATTTTTTAATCAGGATTCTCATATTCATTTTAAATGAGATAACTTGGGTACAGAGGCACCAAGTAACTGGCTGTCTCAAAGGGTTAGAACTCATCTATTCTAATGCTGATCTTCCTAGCTGCCTGCAAGTCTTTCCCCTCTTCAATATCCCTCCTCTGAGGGAAGATAAACTTGATTTCTTAGGGACTCTTCTGCATCTGGCAATTATGAATGACCCTCCGTTCTATAATCCTGGCTTAAAGAGTTCCCTTAAAGTGGATGAAACCTCCATCTATCTAGCCAGTGGATGGCATTTGGTTCACACTAATGAGGAAAGATAACAAAACCCTGGGCTATGGGCCAAGGCCTGCCATTCACAATCTCAAATCCCACCAGGACTCACTTTCCTTGTATGTTAAAAGGAACTGAACATATCTATTGCCTTATGAGCTGCCTGGGTTACAAAAATGATCAAAGGGCCCTAGGTAGACCAATGGCTACTCCCCTAAGATTCAACAACTAGGAGGAACGGGACTCTAAGACCTAAGACCCACACAGGATAAGTCAAAGATCCCCAAGGGTCCTTTCTTTCTAAGAAAGCAACCTACTGCCTCTAAGTTTCCCAGTCCCTAGCTGCTTAGCATGAAAAGCAACACAGAAATCTGGCAATCCAGCAATGGCTATGAAAATCAGTAGATGCAGAACGGCTGGGTGGCTCAGCAGTTAAAGTGTCTGCCTTCAGCTCAGGGCATGATCCTGGACTCCCAAGATCGAGTCCTGAAGCAGGCTCCATGCAGGGAGCCTGCCTCTCCCTCTCTCTGTGTCTCTCACGAATAAATAAATAAAATCTTTAAAAAAAATCATTAGATGCTGACAACACCAGCTAATGCAAACTTCGTTTCCTGTTACCCAGTTAGGCAGACAACCCTCGAGGCCCAGGAAAATTCAAGGAGCCGTTTCTCAGGGCTCATTTTTAACTGTTTCATTTCCCATCAGCAAACTGTCTTACAATCTACTAATCACAAGGGCCAGGCAGAAAGCTCTCCTGCCATTAAGTGGGGAAGATTTCATGCTGCCAAGCATTGGGGAAGGGGAGCAGAAGCCTTGAGGAGTTTGAGCCATCTCTTTGTTGGATAAAGTAAAGCAGTCATTACTAGAGCAGGATCTGCACACCTACAAAGTGGCAGCTGCCACTAGCAATTATTTAGCTTATTAAAGCCCATGGGGACAAGAATGGGAAAGAAATTTGTGGAGGGCATACTTGGGAAAGAAATGGTAACTGTAAATGTAAATGTGGACTCACTACTGTGAAATGCCTGCACGAAGAAGCCAAGAATAGAATAGTTAGTGCCTTTTTCTGAAGACAGAGATCTGATTTCCACCACTCCTTTCTCCCACTCCACCTGGCTCTTTTCTAAACTAAACTAACGTCTCTGGTTTCCAGCCCCCTTGCTGCCCAATTTATTTCACTTCTGTTTAGGTCAACAGATTTCAAAATAGAAATACTTTCAATGTTTGTCTAACTTTGAAAGTCCTAAATGCACACTGTGAAAAAAAATCCAGAATCCCAGAATGTTTAACACTCAGAGTATGTTCTTCCAATTACTTTCATGAACACAAACACTGATTTTTATTTTACAAAAATTGGCTGAAAACCATACTACTGCTCTCTAGCTCTTTTTCAATTAATATATTTGAAAATATTCCAAGTAAAATATTCATCTACAAGACTACTTTTTACTTTTTATTTTTAACGCCATGTTGTAATATCACATGAATACATCAAAATTTATCTACCCAAATTATTATTCATGAATAGCTAAGTTTTCTTTCCATTTTTATTGCTATGAATGTTGTAAACATTCCCAAACCTACATCTTTTAGAATATCCTTAGAATAGTTCTTCAGGATTTTAGCATATTTCAGGGTATACCCCTAGAAATGAAATTGCATGGTCAAAAGACATACAATATTTATTCTGCTACAACATATATTGCCAAACTGCCCCTACGAAGGATTACACTCAAACTGGATAACCTCACCAATACTAGTATAGCATTTTTTAATAATTGCCCATGTGATAGATATCAAATGCCATAATGCATTTTTTATGAGTACAAACATCTATCACTTAAGAGAATTACAAAGACGAGTAAGATACAGTCTCTGCCCTTGAGCTTAAATGAAGGGAGACAGACACAAACAGGTAACATTTACCATTGTCATGTTCATGATGGAGACAAATTAAAATTTCAGTTCATGGTGCTTCCTAAATTGACTCTGCATCTATTGCTAATAGAAAAGATCTAAAAAAATATTATTTGAAAGTACTCCAAGTTAAAAATCTATCTGCTAAAATTCCAAGGAGTTGTACTAATGCTAAATCACCTCAGTGGTATTTTGATGTGACTTTGTTGTTTTCCTTCATCAAGTCTAAAAGTTAAGCACCAAGTAGAAGCTGCTCAGAAAATGACCTGTCATCCCTCCGCCCAGGCAGTGAAGTGAATGAAATAGGGCAATGTATTATGGGAAAGTTTCACTTGACTCTGGGCCTGGACTTCCATCTTTCCTTTTCCTACCATTTCCAGTAAACAGTGAGCTGTAATCACTTTCTTTCAGACACCAAAAGTCTTCTCTTCCCGCAATCTCACTGCCAGGCAGATCTGCTTATACATTGTTAGGCTGCAGTAGTATCCATTCCAACTTGAAAAATACAGATAAGAATAAAAAGAAACTTTTTCAGTACCACGAGTCAGATACAGATGAGCTCAAATTGGACACTACCACAAGCATTTTAAAAGCCTATCCAACAAAGATGGATGGGTATGCAATAAAGCAAATATAGCAAATTGTTCATTGTAACATCCAGTTGGTAGGTAGATAGGTTTCAATGTACAATTTTTCAACTTCTTTATATGTATATTTGATTTTTCATAAGACAATACAGGGAAAATCCAACAAACAGCTTGAAAAACAAGGCTGTAAGGGCCTTTTGCCCTATTTTACTCCTAGAATGAGACTATATTCTTTCCTTTTTGTTTTGTTTTAGATCTAGCTTTCTTGACTTGGGAGCTCTCAACTTTTTAATGACATGAAATGAATCACAATATACCCACAGGCAGGTTCCCAAGACAATGTGTGGGAGGTTAGGGAGGGTAATGGGGAAGGCCCTAAGCTCTTGGAAGTCCAGGCTTCCTAACTGTATTAAGAAGTCTAAGTAAGTGAACATTTCAGAAACTCCATTTCTTTGTGTATTAGCATTCAGACCCTGTAAACATTTGCCTTGGCCTACCATTCTGCCTTATCTCACATCAGTTTGTTACTTTCCATATTCTCATGGCAAAGAGCTGTGTAGGAAGGGGGGGTGTCAAGGGATAAGGCACCAAGGTATGATATGGTGAACGAAGTGAATTCTTCAGGTTAGGATATAACAAAAGGAATTTCTAGAAATGAAACTCCAAACTTGATGTTGAAGTACATGGTATAACTGACTAACTGTAGGACCCTGGTGAAGGCCTTATAATCAATCTAGTTTGAAGTGTGTTCTAGCAGGCCCACCTGCAAAATAGGAAAAAGACCTGTTATAAGCAATAACAAATGAGGCAAATAAATAAATGAGTTTCTGAGACGCTAAAAATATCTTTGGTGAATGGAGAGGAACATGAAACCATCAGGGAGGCATTCTTTTTCTGTAAAGGACAGGATTTATGTGCCACCAGGTCTGATGTAGTTACTCAACTTTGCTGTCGCAGGCCAAAAAAGGCCACAAGAGGGACGCCTGGGGCTCAGCGGTTGGGGGTCTGCCTTCAGCCCAGGGCATGATCCTGGGGTCCTGGGATTGAGTCCTGCATTGGGCTCCCTGCATCTCTCTCTGCCTCTCTCTCTATCTCTCTGTCTCTTATGAATAAATAAAATTTTTAAAAAGCCACAGAGAAATATCAACAAATAACATGTGTTCCAGTATAACTGTATTTGCAAAACCAAGCAGTCCATGGGTTGTATTTACCTACCCCTGATCTAGAATGTGCAGCTCTACCTAGGAACACCATTTGAAGGATGACATGAGGAGGAGTGAAAAGGAGATGAATCTACAGATAGGAACCATTTAGCAAACACCGGGCAGTGAGGATGAGGCTCCTGATCTGTTACCCAGGCCCCACCAAGGAAGAGATGGTCAGCAGCAGCAACAATAGCAATATCTGTAAATACCAAGGACTGAAATTCAAACACAAAAATAGCATCATCTCAGAAAAACTCCTAAGACAGATACAGAACTAGAAAGAAATAGCAAGCTTCTGACCACATGCATTTTGATTAAACAGTTGACAGTCCAGAGCCTGTGGAGATCACCTTAGCAGGCACACGATAAATGTTTGTTGATGAGTCATTCATTTATTCATCCAATAAACATTTACTGAGGCCTACTAATGTGCCAGGCTGGGCTCTGGAGAAGACATTGTCCCTGCCCTCAAGGAGCTTACAGTCTAGTTGAGAACACAGGAAGGGAGACAGGCATATACACAGACAATTACAATACAACCTGGTAAGTGCTACAACACTTATCAGGTTGTATTATAATGGCCGATGTAAAATTTCTTCCCAGAGGGCGCTGCTCCAGGCTGCTGCTGGCTGTAACATCAAGAGAAGGGTGGAACAAATTATAAATATCAAAAGTTAAAGGCTTTTAGGCTATTTCAAATATTCAGGCTCTCCCTAACTCCTGATCAGAGATGGGTTTGGGAACTAGACACTGGCTTGTTGTAAAATGGGACTCCTACACTTAAAATAAGCAAAGATATCCATTAAAGAATCTTCTCAACCACCTCCTCTACAGTATAAACTCTGCTGTTTTGTTTTGCTTATTATACATCCCTTGACCACCCCCATACATGTAAGCCTCATTTAACATCTGCAACTAACAAAAGGCTGAAAAATGGAGCTTATGTATAACTGGAATAACCCAGTGTAACTGGATGGCAAGGAGCAATAAGTAACAAATCACTTGGCACTTCTAAATCCTATAAATCCCTCCCCTCACTTTTGAAAAAGTGAAAATTGGAATGTTATTAAATATATAAGATAGTACATAGCTCATGTTTTGGGAATGATAATTTAGAAAGGTTTTTAATAAATATAATTAAACAGATTCTCTGAACCACAAATAACAGACCCAGTTTCAGGAAATCTTCTAAGACATCCCACCCCAAAACCTTTAAGAATATCTATTCTAAATTACCTATATAATAAGAAAATAAATAAGAAATAAAACAAGGAGGCAATACAACTCTTCCCAACTGCTTTTCAACATCGAGTGATAATAGTAAGAGACTCCTTGAGGAGAGATTACTGGTGTTAACTAGTCATTTGGTTCAGATGGTTTTATACAAAGGATGGAATTTTTGTGTCCCATACTGTTCTTAATAAGGCCTAGGGTTTTAATGGCTCTTTTGTCCCTTTGCCAGCAAATTGAGCTGATGACATCAACAGATTGTTGCCATTTACACTGAGATCCCGGTCTCTGAGGCCACTATTTTATATGCTTAATATACTATTTTCCCCCCAAAGTCATTATATTGCTTTTGCCTATACTGTTCCATTCTGCCACTGTCAGCCCACACTCACAATGCCTTCTCATGTGTTGCAGTTTGTTCCTACTAGCATTTTACACCCCCAGAGCTTAATGTTACCTATAAATGTGGATGTTACACTATGTCCACATCCTCCTCCAGATCACTCAGAAGTATTCAAAGGAAGATCAGTCCCAGATCAGATGGGGGAGAGGGTTCTGCTTTGTGTCTTGTCTAAGTTGGTTTCTTTTTAAAGACAAGACGTTGCCATGTCTTCTTCCCACACCCATAGCCAAAGACATGGCTCTCTGTTTAAAGGAAGACAAATGTTATCACAAAGTGGATAGCAAGAATCTGACATGTATACCACAAAGCAGTTGTCTTTGGAATCACATCATTTCTTAAGACTCAATGGCAATACATGCCAGAAGTATATGTGCAACAAACCGCTTTTGTCATTTGCAATAAATGACAAGGGATAATAAATCCTTATACAGAACACACAATATACAGCTCTTACAAATACATACATTCAGACCCAAATTGAATAGTTCACAAAGGGAAGAACTAATAATTAACATTTGAGAATCCAGTCTCACCCGGAATCAGAGAAGTGGATAATAAAACAAAGATAACCATTCTCTTACATACAGGGTAGCAAAAAATTCTTCTAAATAACCAGGTACAAAAAAATGACATAATATTCTGGAATGTTACTATAGCAAGTCTTAATAATGTTCAAACTTTTTGATGAACAATTCTAATTCTGGAACTCCATCCTATAAAGAAATAACTCAAAATAGGTAAACAATAAAAACTGAATGAAAATGAAAAGACATTCATCACATCATTTAAAATACTGAAAATTTAAAAATACTTCCATACAACAAGATATCATGAAACCATTAGATGACAATTGCAAAGAATGTTTAATGTGGAAAAATGTATGTTATAATGGTAATCAAAACACAACATAAAATAGTACAAATTTATGATCAACTGTAGAAAAATGCAGGGAATGAAAAGATGTGAACACATTTATAAACACAGGGTTATCTCTAGGAGGTCAAAGTACAGATCCTTTTCCCCCAAACTTGATGGTTATCCTCAGACAAAGCTGCAATGACTATCTACCAATTTCTAGATTGAGGGAACTATTCAAACTTAAACAATGGAAGAAAAATCACAAAATAGGAAAAAGATTTGACCACTTGCTTGAATCTCTCCTAATCCAAAATTTAAATACAACAATTAAAAGGCAAACAATAGCATGGAGTATGTAACATTGCAGAAATCTGAGTAATACCCTTTATTTGAAGAACACTTTCAAACAGATAACAATAACACTAAACTAAAACTCCAACAGATAAATCAGTACAAGATCTGAACTAACATCACATGAAAGAAAATTAAACTGCTAAGAAATAAGTGGAGGAAAAAGGACTCCAAACTCACTAATAACCAAAGAAATGCAAAATTAAAATACTAGTTTTTGTCCATAACATATATATTTTTTTAAAATAAACACCACTCAATGCTTGTTTAAGTAAAAATTGGTACGACCTTTACAGAATGAAATCTGTCAATACATACTGTTAAAGGTGTTGACATAGTAATTCCACTTCAGTGAATCTATTCCAACCAATAATAAAAGAAATGCATGTATTTTCAGTATTTTATTGTAAGAAAAAAAGCAATAACCTTTCCTTTATTATTGGACATTTGTATTACCACACCAAAATATTAATAATGTGTAAGAAAAAAATCTCTACTGCAGCAAAAGACTGCTGTGTCAAAGCATTTGACCAGATCTCAAATCAGGCAAAACAAGAAGGGTGTGTCCAGTCTGCGGCAGTCGGCCATTTTAAACCCTCTGCAGAACAAAAAGCATAGAAGACAAGGGTAGATAAAGATAGCCACCCCAGTAGGCTCCCAACCAACAATTCGTTACTTTTTGTCTTCTACATATGTAACCCTGTATGAGGCACTGAGTAAAAAGTAGCCAAGTGCCAACAGGTCTCCTAGCTTAAAAAGCATAGGTAAATTGCAAACAAAATTTGAAATCATAAAAGGGTCCTTTAAATGTGAACCCTCATCTCAGGCGATTAAAGCATAATTAAGAGCACAGCATTATGGAGTCATACAACCTGGATAAAAATCCAGTTTCAGCCATCCAAATGCATGTAAAGCCTTGGACAAGTTACTTGATCTTGTGTACCCCATATTTCTCATTTGTAAAATATAAATAATAGCACTGCTACTTCATAAGATTGTCAAGGGTACTAAATGAGGTAAGGCATGTGTAAAAAGCACGTAGATCAGTACCTGGCACATAGTTTTAAGTGCTATCGACGTTTAAATTTAATTATTACTATAAGCAGAGAAATAGACCCAGGGAAGGAAAAGAACCAATATGAGATCACAGCCAGGATTACTGGGAAAGAACTGTCTCTTCAATTTTGAATCTTTGTGCTACATATTTAAGTGCTAAACTATTGTTTTTAGCGATTTACAGTAGATCCTCACTGACAGCACTCTGAGATCCACAACGGTACAGCAACCTAAAAAAAAAAATCTTCCCCCTAGGCTAAAGTTTTAGAGAAAAAAATAATTTAGAGGAAAGGATATGAACCCTGGTCACCTTCATACCATCATTACCATTTACCCAAATCCTAGGTTTAAACACAGCCAAATCCTCACCCCTATATTCTGCAAGGGGTGGAAATCAAGGGCTTCTGACCAACATAACAATTCTCACGATACTGCAATCACTGTGTTCTGCTACTCTGATGGGATGAAGAACGTGTCCAGAGCTAAGTACAGCGGCCCAAAGTCTCACAGAGCCCTCCAAATGTGTATTGCTGGAATGTGGCCTGTCTCCAATGCTTCCGTTTTCCACACACAGCCAGCTGCCGAAACCTTTGAGAGTCATCATCGCCTCTGCATTTTCAAACCCAGAGTTATCAATGGGCCACCGAAAGGCTTAGATTCTGGGTTAATTTCTAGTGGATTTGGCCACAGCCTAGGACAACTCTCACTCAGTAGATCACCCAACCAGAAAGGTAGATTCTATTTCTCTGCAGGGCTCCCTAGCCCAAGATGGCCAAGCAAAGACAACTTACCTCCCCCCTCGCCATTTTGCAATCTTAATTACACTAGGGTGCGCGCCTCCCCTCCCCGTCATTCCGTCTGAAACACGCCTGCGCTACTCTCTTCTCCCAAAGCCAACCGTCACAATGTCGTCTCAAACACGCATGCGCTACTTCACTCTCCCAACTGCGGCTGCCAACTGCGTACTAGAAACTTTGCTTTCTTAGATATGCATTTGACGTCCCCCCGCCCCCAACGCCCCAAGCTTGGGCGTGCTTACCTCCCACTCTCCCCAACTGGGGCCCCTTCCCCCTCACATCAGGCCTTCTCAAATATACGAGCTTGATCCCGCGCCTCCCCCCAACCTCTCAAATACACATGCGCAGCAACACGAGCTTCTCCTATTCCCTGCCCTCCCTCGTACGTTTCTTAGATATACACGCCTGATGCTATCTGGACGTATTTCTCGCCATAGTTGTGCCTCACTACTCAAGGAGACACACTACCAGCATTTCCTCATTGGGGTAGGTGTGATAAACTAGGGAAGTGGAATACTGGAAAGACGGCATTGCTGGTAACCACAGAGAGCAAATCTAGACGGAATCCGCCCCGGCCCCCAGGGAGGAGCTGGAGTATCCTCAGACTCCCTAATTAGATCCACCACCCAGAACAAAGGCAGAGAAAGCTCTCATAATTGGATGAGCCTAGTCCTAAAGCCAATCCTTTAAATACACTTTCTGCTGCATACGAGGAACCCCAAATTTTTAAACAGAACATTATGAAAAATACCGACGCTCATGTACCTCAACCCTAATTAGAGAGGAGAGGAGAGGAGTCTATAGCCTTTCACAGTGGAAAGTAAACGCTCAACATCCTTTTGTAGGTCTGAAACCCATGCTCTCCCCCACTTTTTCCTCCTGTGAACCGGAAGAACACACAGATCAAGGATCTCCCTGCTACGAGTTCCCTCCGCCGCCCTCCATGTTCTTTTCCTACCTCCTGGCAGAATCGAGTGTCGTAGCATGAATTCTTAGCGCTTGCTGCCGCAAGACAGGGTACAGGGAGCGGCGGCACAGAGTTCGCAGATCTAGGGCGGCTGCACAGACCAAGGTAGAACTGGACAGTCAACTGAGCGACACCCGCGCCTCCAGCCGCAGCGCTGATGCCAGTTAAAGGACTGCCTCTCCAGGGTCGCCGCAGTTTGCGTCTGGCGCATGCGCTGAGTACGCCCTCTTCTCTCCACCCCCACCCACTACCGCTTTTCCGAGGTTAACCTTTTGGCCCGCTTCACCTTTTCCCCAGGGCCCAGGACCCTAGCCTATCCTGCTTCTTCTCCTTTTCCTCTCCTTGGTCTCATCCCTTCTTTAGCCCATTTTTCCTTTGTCAATCCCTCTCCTATTCTTAGCTCAGCGTTTCATTGCTAAGTCCCCTGTTGGCTGCCTTTATTTGCTCTTTGTATTCTTTTCGTTGTAAGTTTTATTGAGATATAATTTTGTGTCATACAATGCCCCACCTTAAGGTGTACAATGCAATGGATTTTAGTATATTGACATAGTTGTACAGCCATCACCACCACTTTAGAATTTCCTTTAGAAAAAGAAACCTGGGATCCTTGGGTGGCGCAGCGGTTTGGCGCCTGCCTTTGGCCCAGGGCGCGATCCTGGAGACCCGGGATCGAATCCCACGTCGGGCTCCCGGTGCATGGAGCCTGCTTCTCCCTCTGCCTGTGTCTCTGCCTCTCTCTCTCTCTCTCTCTCTCTCTCTCTCTGTGACTATCATAAATAAAAAAAAAAAGAAACCTCACACTATTAACGTATCTTTGTGTTCTTTACATTTTTGTTTAAACATGTAATGTTTTAACATTGACATTTTTGTTTTTATAGCTGTAACAATGTGTCATTCTAACTATTTTTCCATGTTTCTAATTCTCATATTTATCTTTTTAAATAAGTGGGCATTCATTTTTTAAGTATTGTAAAATTGAAGTCAGCATATAATAATTCTTGCAGATGTAGTTACTTGCTCTTTCCACTTCTCTTCCTTTTGATAAAATTCCCCTAATCTACAATGGTTCCATCTGAAAAGAAATTCAAAAAGGCATAAGCTGTAAATTTTGAACCCTATAAAATAGAGTCTTGGGCCTACCTATTTGTCTGAACTGAGGAACTAAGCAGTTCCTCAGAAGTGGTAAAGGAGAAATTTGGAGACCTCTGGTGTATCTGCCCATTTTAGGCTAACATTCTGAGGCTCTATTTCCCTCTTTTCACTCACCTTATACCCTCTCTTAGAGGATGTGATGGTTAATTTTATATGCCAACTTGGCTGGGCCATGGTGCCCAGATACGTGGTCAAATATTATTCTGGATGTTTCTGTGAGGGTGGTTTTGGATGAGATTAACATTTAAATCTGTGGACTTTGAGTGAAGCAGATTACCTTCCATAAGGTGGGTGGCCTTATCCATTAGTTGAAGGCCTGAATAGAAGAAAAGACTAACCTTCCCCAAGCAAGAGAGAATTCTGCCAGCACATAGCCTTTAGACTTGAATTGCAACATCAATTCTTCTAATTGATAAACCCTATTTTACTTCCAGAACTATGGCTACAAATGAGTACAGAAAGTGGACTTTTTGACTTTCCAACTTCCCAAACAAGAAGGATAATTAAGGAACGCCTGGGTGGCATTGGGTGAGAGTCTGCCTTCAGCTCAAGGCATGATCCCAGGGTTCTGGGATCAAGTCCCACATTGGGCTCCCCACAGGGAGCCTGCTTCTCCCTTTGCCTATGTCTCTGCCTCTCTTTCTGTGTCTCTCATGAATAAATAAATAAAATCTTAAAAAAAAAGAAGGATAATTAAATGAAGATTGAGTAAGCCAGTTCAGAGTACCCAGCTCAGTGGTACATACAATAAAGGGATTATTCAACCGGGAGTTGGGAAACAAGAGATGTAGTCCTAGCTCTGTCACTGTCTTAACTTGATCTTGGGAAGATTACTTCTTCTTTTGGGCTTAACAGAGTTTATCTAGTAATTATTGAAGAGAAATATTTTAAGCAAGAGAATGATGTGGTCAACTTTGCATTTTAGAAAATCACTTGGTCAAGAGATAATGTAGACCTGCTTTAGAGGAGTTGTGGGATGAGAGAAATGTTATGCCTTAGAGAAATATTTAAAATGTTAAAGCATTTTGTAATGATAAAGGGGGTGATTTATCAAGAAACTATGACAACTAAAAACATATATGAACCTAACAAAAGATCCCCCAAATGGGAAAAAACAGACAACATTGAATAGATGAATGAATAATCCAACACTAATAATGGGAGACTTTAATATTCTATTCTCAATAATGGATCCTACAAGTAGACGGAAAATCAGCAATGATATAGAAAACTGGAACAATACTACCAGCCAAATTGATCTAATTGACATCTAGAGAATACTCCAAAATAACATGCTAGGGAATGCAGAACAAACATTCTTCTCAAGCACTCATGAAACATTTTCTAAGACAGACCATATGCTAGACCATAAAGCAAGCTTCAATAAATGTAAAATGATTGAAATTATACAAAATATATTCTCTAATCATAATGGAATAAAATTACAAATCGATAATAGAAGGAAATTTTGGGAAATTACAGAAATGTGGAAATTCAATATTGCAGTCCTGAATATCCAATGGCTTAAAAAAGTAATCACAAAGAAAATTAATAAACACTTTGAGATAAATGGAAAAGAAAACACAACATACCAAAATTTGTGGCATGCAGCTCAGAGGACATAGCAGTGAAATATGGGAGTAGTGCTCAGAGGGATATATATAGGTGTAAATGCCCATATAAAAACAGGAGAGGGACAGCCAGGGTGGCTCAGCGGTTTAGCGCCGCCTTCGGCCCAGGGCATGATCCTGAAGACCTGGATCAAGTCCCACATAGGGCTCCCTGCGTGGAGCCTGCTTCTCCCTCTGTCTCTGCCGTTCTCTCTCTCTCATGAATAAATAAATAAAATCTTTAAAAATATATAAATAAAAATAAAAACAGGAGAGATCTCAAGTCAATAACCTAATCCTCCACCTTAAGAAACTGAACATAGAAGACCAAGCTAAGTTTAAAGCAGCAGAAGGAAAGAATAAAGATTAGAGTGAAAATAAATGAAATAAAGAGTTAAAAAAAAGCTAGAGAAAATTGACAAAGCCAAAAGTGGCTTTTTCAAAGATCAGGGAAATTGAAAAAATCTTTAGCTGGACTGGCCACAAAAAAGAGAAAGGTGAAGCAGTGGTGGTGGAGGGGGTTGGGGTGGAGAATTTGAAATGTGTAAGTGTATAAGGTAGACCAAAAGATGGTATAGGTAAGAGAGGGCTAAATGTTCATTCTCTGAAATGAAAAATCATATATAAATTGAAACATCTAAAGTTGTAACATCAAGAACTCATAAGTAGTATTTATAGTTATGACTCTTTAAATCAGTGTGTTTTAAACTGTGAGTTACAATCATTTAATGTATCTGAGAGATCAGTTTAATAGGTCACCACCAGCAGTTACTACAACATGAATAGAAAATATCATAGACAAATTATGGAAAGAACCCAAATGTCCACCAACTGATGAATGGATAAAGAATATGTGGTATATATATAAATATTTCAGTGTGAAGAATGAATTCTTGCCACTTGCAACAAAGTGGATGGAGCTAGAAAGTAGTATGCTAGTGAAATAAGTCAGTCAGAGAAACACAAACACCATATGATTTCACTCATATATAGAATTTAAGAAACAAAACAGAGGAACATAGTGGGGGGGGAGAGGCAAACCAGGAAACAGACTTAACTATGCAGAACAAGCTGAGAGTTACTGAAGGGGAGGTGGGTCAAGGGACAGGTTAAATAGGTGATGGGTATTCAGGAGGGCACTTGTAGTGATGAGCACTGGGTGTTAAACGTAAATGAAGAGTCACTAAATTCTACACCTGAAACTAATATTACACTGTATATTAACTAACTGTAATTTAATTAAAACTTTAAAAAGAAAAAAAATAAAAAGGTATTTGCCTCAAGGGGGGAAAAGAGTTGCGGGTGCTCACAAATTCATCACCTAAATCCAAAATTTCATGTTGTCTTCCCATATATTAAACGGACTTAGATTTTCAGGATCTCAAGTCTCAAGAAAAACAGGAAAGAATATATTTCCTTATAGAAATCATTTGTGGGGCCCTTGGGTGGTTCAGTCGGTTAAGTGTCTGCCTTTGTCTTGGATCATGGTCCAGGAGTCCTGGGATCCAGCCACACATCAGTTGGGCTCTCTGTTCAGCAGGGAGTCTACTTTTCCCTCTGCTCCTCACCCGGCTCTGGCTCTCCCTCTCAAATAAATAAATAAAATCTTTTTTTAAAAAGAAATAATTTGCTCTCCTAATTCAAACTTTATGTCATAGTGTCTAGTGTTCTATACATATAGAATGAATATTATTTCCTCTTTCTTCTTTTCTTACCCAACTGTCCTAGGCTAGGAAACACAGCTGGTGGTATAATGAACCTAAGGTGTATAGATATAGACATATAAATTGCAGAGTTACTTCATCATTTTAAGTTCCCTTTTGCCATATGCACTATTACACATTCCAGTGTGTGTAGCTTACATTATTATATGATCCTAATTTTTAAGTGAGTCTATTTTAAATATATTGGAAATTTCTAAATTAAAAAAAATTTTAAAGGTCTTATGTATTTATTCAAGAGAGACACACAGAGAGAGGCAGAGACATAGGCAGAGGGAGAAGCAGGCTTTATGCAGGGAGCCCGATGTGGGACTCGATCCAGGTCTTCAGGATCATGCCCTGAGCCAAAGACAGGTGCCAAACTGCTGAGCCATGCAGGCATCCCTAAATTTAAAAAAAAAGTTAATGGATAGAGAACTTGTTAGATTTTCTAGTTGTATCAAGTTATGGTAGTTTGTGTATTATAAGAAATTTGTCCATTTTATTAGGTTATCAAATTTATTGGCATAAATAAATGATTCTTTTAATATCTAAAGTAAAAAACATCAAAGTGCTTTGCACACATTAAAAGTACATTTTTTTCTTAAATTTTTTGAGTTCTAACACACATATCTTCTATTGTGATGTAATATGCATATCTTCATGTCTCAAAGTTGTTTGAAAATCAATACTTAAACTATGGACATATATTACTTCTATAAAAGTATAAACCTTAAGGGAGATATAAATGTGATAATTAATAAGGTTAATTTAATAAGTATATATCAAGTTTTGAACCACAGAGAGAATTTTTGCCTTTTGCAACCATTTATGCAGCATCATTTAATTGTTAGGAATAAAACTCTTTTCATTACTATGTATATATGGCAACTGCTCATGCTTTTTGGCTGTAAACATTCATTAATTTTTGAAAATATTTATCTTTACTCAAAATGGATGAAAGATCTAAATGTGAGACAAGATTCCATCAAAATCCTAGACAAGAACACAGGCAACACCCTTTTTGAACTTGGCAACAGCAACTTCTTGCAAGATACATCCATGGAGGCAAGAGAAACAAAAGCAAAAATGAATTATTGGGACTTCATCAAGATAAGAAGCTTCTGCACAGCAAAAGAAACAGTCAACAAAACTAAAAGACATCCTACAGAATGGGAGAAGATATTTGCAAATGACCTATCAGATAAAGGGCTAGTATCCAAGATCTATAAAGAATTTATTAACTCAACAGCAAAGAAACAAACAATCCAATCATGAAATGGGCCAAAGACATGAACAGAAATTTCACAGAGGAAGACATAGACATGGCCAAGAAGCACATGAGAAAATGCTCCACATCATTGGCCATCAGGGAAATACAAATCCAAACCACAATGAGATACCACCTCACACCAGTGAGAATGGGGAAAATTAAGGCAGGAAACAACAAATGTTGGAGAGGATGCGGAGAAAGGGGAACCCTCTTGCACTGTTGGTGGGAACGTGAACTGGTACAGCCACTCTGGAAAATGGTATGGAAGTTCCTCAAAGAGTTAAAAATAGATCTGCCCTATGACCCAGCAATTGCACAGCTGGGGATTTACCCCAAAGATACAGATGCAGTGAAACACTGGGACACCTGCACCCCGATGTTTATAGCAGCAATGTCCACACAGCCAAACTGTGGAAGGGGCCTCGGTGGCCATCGAAAGATGAATGGATAAAGAAGATGTGGTCTATGTATACAATGGAATATTACTCAGCCATTAGAAACGACAAATACCCACCATTTGCTTCAACATGGATGGAACTGGAGGGTATTATGCTGAGTGAAATAAGTCAATCAGAGAAGGACAAACATTATATGGTCTCATTCATTTGGGGAATATAAAAAATAGTGAAAGGGAATAAAGGGAAAGGAGAGAAAATGAGTGAAAATATCAGTGAGGGTGACAAAACATGAGAGACACCTAACTCTGGGAAATCAACAAGGGGCAGTGGAAGGGGAAGTGGGCGGGAGTTTGTGGTGACTGGGTGATGGGCACTGAGGGGGGCACTTGGCAGAATGAGCCCTGGGTGTTATGCTATATGTTGGCAAATTGAACTCCAATAAAAAAATTTAAAAACTAAAAATAAATAAAAAATATTTATCTTTGTCATTGCATTTATGGAACTGGTGGTACATTCCAACCAAGTCATTTTGAAAATAAAGACCAACGGCTACACATGCTATTCTTATGTCTGTGTTTTACCAAATACGTTTGTATTGCCTGTCTGTTAAAAATTCAGATGCAAAACATATAGTTAACTAGTAACTTAAAGAAAAATATTTATTGTGAGTTTTTTAAATTACCAACAAACTAAACTCATTTCAAAAATAGTAAAGTACAGGGAAGGAAAATAAGAAGAAAAAAATTGTATTCAATCATATAAACCCAAAATAGCTATGGTTGATATTTCAGTGTCTAGTATTCTATACTTATTTGTATATCTACATAAATGAACATGTCCGTAAATCTTGATGTAGTTTATATAAGACAATTTAGAAAACAATAAAGAGGAAATGTGTCCAATTTTAAATTATGGTTGTATAACTTATTTTCCAATTAATAATCTGTTCTTTATACTGACTGCTTCACCCCTGTTATGTTTTTTAACTTAAGTGGTGGTGATTATGTTGAAAACTAGGATTCCTTCAATAAAATATGAAAGATTGTGAGTAAATCCCACTGTGGCATTTTATTTATTTATTTATTTTTAATTATTTAAAAATATTTTATTTATTTATTCATGAGAGACAGAGAGAGAGAGAGAGAGAGAGAGAGAGAGAGAGGCAGAGACACAGGCAGAGGGAGAAACAGGCTCCACGCAGAAGTCTGACATGGGACTGATTCCGAGACTCCAGGATCACACCCTGGACTGAAGTCGGAGCTAAACCGCTGAGCCACATGGGATGTCCCTTATTTATTTTTAAAGATTTTATTTATTTATTTGACAGAGAGAGAGGGAGAGAGCAGGAAGCAGGGGGAGAGGCAGAGGGAGAAGCAGATCCCACGCTAAGCAGGGAATCTGACTGGGGGCTGGATCCAGGAACCCAGTGATAATGACCTGAGCCCATGGCGCTTAACTGACTCAGCCACCCAGGTGCCCCTTACCGTGGCATTTTAAAGATTTTTTTCTACCTTACATACCTTACTTATATCTTTATGAACATTTGTATTTTATTTTTTAAAACAAAAAGGACGTTAGTCTAATTTGCTATAATTTGTTTCTTTCCTGGGATCCCTGGGTGGCGCAGCGGTTTAGCGCCTGCCTTTGGCCCAGGGCGCGATCCTGGAGACCCGGGATCGAGTCCCACATCGGGCTCCCGGTGCATGGAGCCTGCTTCTCCCTCTGCCTGTGTCTCTGCCTCTTTCTCTCTGTGTCTATCATACATAAATAAATAAAAACTTTAAAAAATTTTGTTTCTTTCCTTTACTAGATTAATCTCATACAGATTTTTTGTATGTCCGTAGGGAATATACAAAAACGTCATCCACTAGATCACAAAGAAGACCTAACTCTTAATTACAAGGAACCATACAGGGTATATTTTCTGGACTGGGAGGGATTCAAACAAACTTAAAGATCCAAGTGTTTATCATTTTAAAAAACACACCAACACTCAGCCCTGCTTTTGGCTTCAAGGATAGAAAAGGGGGGGAAGGGCAGCTGGAATGCCAGTGACACATAATTGGGGCCATGCGCAAACCTTGTGTGACGTTGCTGAGGCCCCTAGAGAAAAACGGCCACTTGTTTCTAAGCCGCCCTAAGGGGAGTTGCGTCTGAGCCTCCGGGCAGTGGTGGGTCCGCTCACCCTAAGATCTCACTGCCACCATGAGCAGTAAGGAATGTTTCAGGTGTGGACGCTCTGGCCACTGGGCCAGGGGATGCCCTAAAGTAGGAGGGAGTCGAGGGCGCGGAGCTAGAGGCCGTGGCAGAGGTTCTCCGTGCAGTTCCACCAACCTACCTGACATCTGTTACCGCTGTGGTAAGTCTGGTCATCATGCTAAGAATTGTGACCTTCTCGAGGACATCTGCTACAACTGTGGGAGAAGTGGCCACATCGCTAAAGACTGTACTGAACCTAAAAGAGAGAGAGAGCAGTGCTGTTACACTTGTGGCCGACCAGGCCATCTGGCTCGTGATTGTGACCGTCAGGAAGAGCAGAAGTGCTACTCTTGCGGTGAATATGGCCACATTCAGAAAGACTGCACCCAAGTTAAGTGTTACCGTTGTGGCGAGACAGGCCACGTGGCCATCAACTGCAGCAAAACGAGTGAAGTCAACTGTTACCGCTGCGGCGAGTCGGGACATCTGGCCCGGGAATGCCCCATTGAGGCCACCGCTTAAAATTTCCCCTTTGTCTTCCCCCTCTTCCGTTTACTGATTGATAATTGTATTATTTTCTCTGAAACCTCTTCACTGACCAAAAGTTGATAAATGGAGGCTAATCCCAGGTCAGTGAGCTTTAATTACCACGTTGAAGGAGGAAACGGCTGGAAAAATCTCAAAAAAAGTTGTTCACTTTTAGATGTCTTATACTGTAATGTGTTTCCGCGCCACTGGTGAATCTGATTATTGGACAGTCATACTAGGCATTAGGCAACTTCTAGGGTCTTCATACTTTGATTTAACATGTAACAAACTGCTACTGTGTGCCAGCCACTATGGAGGAATTGGGGATATATCAGTGAACAAATCAGATCAAGTTTGGGAACATAGGCCTAGAATCTATTAACAAATAATATAGAGTGTCAGTGAAGATAAATTGCTACAGAGAAAAAAAACACCAGGTAGAAGGATAGAATGTGCTGGGGACGGGACATGTGTTTCTGTCTTAGATGCACAAGGCACCCTGAGGAAGTGACATTTCTTCAGAGATTCATTGATAAATAAAGCTGATTCTAAAAATGTCTATGACCTTGCCAAAGTAATTTTAACTTTACTATATATTGATTGCTTTGAATTATCTGATTTCATTAGCTTTTAAATAATGTTGAAAGATATCTCTATCTGGCCCTACATAGAGTATACACTTTAATGAAAATAAACCAGAAAATGTGTATAATGTATGTAAGTAGTTTTGAAAGAGAGAGAGAGCAATGAGAAATGAAAAAAAAAAAACCTTAACAGCAAGTGGTTGACATAAACATATTTATGACAAAGTTTGGACTTACATATTTTTCAAATCTAAGAAAACAAATATAAACATTGACATTAAACATTGGGACTTTGACGATTAAAAAATACCCATTTGCATAGATAGGAAAATTATATTTAGGAGTTTCTGAAAAGTGTGTTGTCACAGATATAAAAATGTTGTTTCAAATGCTGGAATCTATTCTTAAAAAAATCAAATCTGAGAGATGCCTGGGTGGTTCAGTGGTTAAGCGTCTGCCTTCAGCCCAGGGTGTAATCCTGGAGTCCCGAGATCCAGTCCCGCATCGGGCTCCCTGCGTGGAGCCGCTTCTCTCTGTGTGTCTCTCATGAATAAATAAAATCTTTAAAAAAATCAAATCTGAAAAACAATTGAGAATCTATAACATAGAAAAGGTACTTTTAAATTCTAAATAAAACCTGGGATGGGGGAAGTAACTATAATTGAAGTTGTAATGGAAAAATTATTTGTAAAATAATAACTTCATGTCATGCCTAGGATATGATAGAATTTATATTAGAAAAGATAGTGTACAGGGTACAATTTTTGGTCTATAAACTCATGAGGTCAAGGAAATTTAACTGATTTTATAACTGAAGCCAATTTCTTTTATGAATCTCCATAAAACTTCATGTGTAATCTTTCATTCCCATCTAAAAGATCTCTTCAATGCAGCTGAGTTTCAACTTCTGTGACTGTATTGGGTTCCTAGAAATTGATTCTGTCTTTGTGTGCTGTTGCAACAAGATAAACTCTGGCACACTCACACTCTCAGCCCCTAAGTGAGGCAATCCTCCGTTCAATCTTCCAAGACGCAACATGAAACCCCTACATCACTCTGAGCCAAACAATTCTCCAGTCTTATCACTGAGACTCATGCTGAGCTCTAGGAAAGGAGAAACACAGATCTCTGCATTTGAATCCCCCCAAAAACAATCTGGAGTTTCATTTCCCATGTCCTCAGGAGATTGGCCCAGAGTTGGAGGGGGAAAATACACTATGTTGCTTTTAAAGAACACATTTAACATTGAAGTCTTCTTTACATTCCTTCTGGGCATTTTTTTCTATTTTAGGAGGAAAGGAAGCCTTACTTTGACTCATTAGTATCCCTGTGTCAGAAGTTACAAAATGGTAGCCCTTTTACTAAATCAGATCCATACTATGTTTAGTCTGACCTACACGTTGTTTAATAATATTCATGAATTAGATGCCAACATTTAAAAATTGCAACATTTTCTGTAGAAATTCTCATTTTTGATCTCTCTAGAACATAAAGATCAGGAAGCAATAGTCACCCATTTCTGGGTGGAAGCTTTCAGCTGAAGGTGAGTAGCATTTTCTCCCTATAGGCAAGTCACATGTCCCCATCCACTCTTCCCCATAATCTTCCAAAAACCCAACAAGCAGTTCCTTTCCCATTAACTTTACCTGCCAGGCTCCTCTAGTTGCTTGAGTCTATAACCTTTGCTGTATGCTTGGGGATTAGTGTAAACAACATTCACCACAGAAGTTCAGTTAAAGCTGTTTATATTCTCATATTTGTAGATACAAACTGGAAAGCACATTATCTTAATAGAGGCCAAAAAAATTTTAATCAAATTCAAGTTCCTTTCTAATTTAAAAACAAAATAACAGAACATCTCTTTAACTTAAAATAAGGGGGCACCTCAGTGAGTTGAGCGTCTGCCTTTGGCTCAGGTCATGATCCCAGGGTGCTGGAATCAAGTCCCGCATCAGGCTCCCTGCAGGGAGCCTATGTCTCCCTCTGCCTATGTCTCTGCCTCTCTCTGTGTCTCTCATTAAATAAATAAATAAATAAATAAATAAATAAATAAATAAATAAATCTAAAAATAGGGCTAATGCGGCTTCTTCTTCCAAGAAGATTGAATAGATGCACTTTTACCTATTCCCATTCAGTGCAATAGAAACCTCAAACATTATAAAACAAACATGAGAAGACTCTGAGAGATAGAAAAAGATGGGTAAAGGCCTTTGGATCAAAGGAACTACATTGCAGTGAGTTCCCTGTTTTCTTTTCTTTTCTTTTCTTTTTTTCTTTTTCTTCTTTTTTTTTTTTGCCTCATATATCCTGAACTTGAATCTGAAGAAATTTTAACAGGCACAGAAATAAAAAAGGCCCAACAAAGGCCTGCTTTCACTAGCCAAAGGGCCAGGAGAGAGGCAGCCTAGAAAGATAGAAAACTTTTATACAATAATTGCTTTACTTCAGACGAACATCACAAGTAAAACTATGGCCCCACCCCCCACCAGCGAAAGCCTAATGGGGAGCCTAGGCTTACCCTGATAATGCTGCAACAAAGTGCCCCAGCACCTCAGTTGGAGTGCTGTGCAGAGAAAGCCCATCAGTAATGAAGTGGCTTTTTGAAAAGATTTTAAAAATTGATAAAAGCTCCAGCAAAACTAACCAAGAAAAAAAAAGAGGAGAGATAAATTATCAGTATTGGGCATGAAATATCACTATCAAGCCTGCAGACATCAAAGGAATAATAAAGGATTATGATAAGAAACTATACACACATAAATTGTACAACTTAGATGAAATGGACCAATTCTTTGAAAAACACAAGCTATCACAACTCACCCAATATAAAATGGGTAATGTGACTAGCTCTTCAGCCATTAAGGAAATTGAATTAGTAAATAAATATTCCCCCTCAAAAAAATCTCCAGGCACATATGATGTCACTGTAAAATTCTATCAAATTTTTGAGAAAGAATTCATACCAATTCACACCAATAAAAAGCCTCAAGAGAAGTCCACTTTCACTAGCCAAAGATCCGGGGGGAGGCAGCCTGGGAATATAGAAAATAGAAGAGCAAGGAACATTTCCCAATATATTTTATAGAACTAGAATTACCTTAATAAAAAATTAGACAATGACAGAACAAAAAACAAAACCACAGATCAGTATCTCTTATGAATATAATGCAAAAATCCTTGACAAAATATTAGCAAATAAAATTCAGCAATATATCAAACGAATTACATATCATACCCAAATGAGATTTTTTCCCAAGGACACAAGATTGGTTCAGGATTCAAAAATCCATAAATATAAGCCAATGTATAAATAAACCAAAGAAAAAACCACATACTCATGTAAATTAATGGAGGAAAGGCATTTGATAAAATCCAATATTCATTCATGATATAAGCTCTCAGAAAAATAGGAATATAGGGGAACTTCCTCAACATGATAAAGAACATCTACAAAAAAACTACAGTTAACATATTTAATAGTGAAAGACAATGCTTTTTTTTGAGATCAAGAAAAAGGCAAGGATATCAGCTCTCACGGCTCTTATTCAACATAGTGAAGGTAGTTCAAGTTACTGCAATAAGGTAATAGTGGGAAATGGAAGTCATACAAATTGGAGAGAAACAACTAAAATTCTTCCTGTTGGCAGGTGACATGATTGTCTATGTAGAAAATCCCAAGTAATCTCCAAAAGACCCTTCCTAGAACTAATAATTTCAACAAAGTTGCAAGATAGAAGAAAAACACAAAAATCTATTATATTTCCATATACTAGCAACAAATACTGCAACTAAAAAAGGAATACTAGTTTTAATCACTCAAAAGAGAGAAATATCTAAGTGTCAATTTAATAAACATGTACAATAATTGTATGCTAAAAAAAACAATTGTATGCTGAAAGGTACAAAACGCTGATGAAAGAAATCAAAGGCCTAAATAAATGGAGAAACAAGTTGATGCAAATCCTATAGAAATCTCAGCAAGATTTTTTTTTGTATATATAGATTATTCACTTACAGGCAAAGGGAAAGGAAATAGAATAGCTAAAACAATTTTGAAAAACAAGAATAAAGTGGGAGGAATTGGTCTATCCAGTTTCAAGACTTATTTAATTGCCATAGTAATCAAAACTGAGTGGTATAGGTGGAGATATAGATATGTGTAGATCAATGTAATAGAATAGAAAACACAGAATTCGATTCTTATAAATATGCCCAACTGAACTGTGATAAAGGTGTAGAATCAGGGGATACCTGGGTGGCTCAGTGGTTTAGCGCCTGTCTTCGGCCCAGGGCATGATCCTGGAGTCCCAGGATCGAGTCCCGCATTGGGCTCCTTGCATGGAGCCTGCTTCTCCCTCTTCCTGTGTCTCTTCCTCTCTCTCTCTCTCTGTGTGTGTTTCTCACGAACA